ATAATAAAACATATATGTCATTGATGTCATGTCTACAGCTAATGATGATACGTTATAGTATCTATTTAACAAATAAATAAATTTAAATTGTAATATATATTATTTTAAACGTCTATATACATAGTTTTACTATTAATATATTAGTTACCGTGAAATAATATTTGAAATAATAGAATATTCAACCCATTGAAATGTACTCAATCCAGTATAAATAGTAAATAAACCCAACATAATCCATCGTTTTTTATATTCTTTTATGTTTATTTCATCACCGTTTCCTCCTCTATTATCATCTTGACTTGATATTTTTTCCTCCATCATATTATATTTTATAAAATTCAAATTATTGATATATAAAAAATTACAGATTCTTATAAATGTTTAAACTGTTTTTAATAACAATAAAATATTTTAATTGGATTACATCTTGACAATAACACATATAATATATTATATACACACACACACACACACACATTAAATAAATAATAATTTTTTAATAGTTAATAATTTATAATTATATATGAATAAACTTACGTAAAATAAAAAACAATATTATACAATGTATAGAGTAATTGGTAATAAAAAATTCATTTGATATAATATACTTTAATGAAAGAAAAGAAATTAATTTGTGAGAAATGTTACAATAAAATGAATGCGTATATAATAATAAAATAATCACTTTGTTATCTTGACACAAAAATCTTCCATAATAATTATAAAACCATACAGGATTTATTAAAACTGATAACTTAAATAATAGCATGTTAATATCATATCGCGTTTATCTAATTTTTTAATTCTACCACTATAACTTAATTATTTTTTAATCCTCAAGTAAATATCACAACCACTAGTATATGAATAAATTTTTTTTTTTTTTATATTTTACACTTGATTACTTCTTAATCTAGTATTGTGTTTTTATCATTTTTTATTATTATTATTTTAAAAAATTAACGTAAATATACATTTTATATTAATTAATCGAACGTATATATAGTAATAATAATTTATAACGATACAATAATGAAAATGTAAAAGAGATAGTAATAAGCAAATGTGGATAATGAAGGTCATCTTGCGATTAAATATATGTATTAATGACTTAATCTTAATAATATTTTTAATATAATGATAAAGTAATAAAATTAAGTGTATCTATAACATTCTTTAATCAATAAATTCGATCGTAATGGCCCATAATATTCTGATTGCCGTCTTTGGTCTCTATCATTCAATCTATAATCATGGATTCTAATTATACTCTCGCCGCATGTTAATCAAATCTAATTGACGCATTAAATGACATTATTCGACCAAAATTCATTGTTCGATAAATTATTATTCCATCACATCCTATCGAATTATTAATAATTTTCGAGTTATTGCCATTTAGTTACATATTCGAAGTTAATTATTATTTTTAACACAAATTAATTGTACATATATACTAGTATTCAATAAAAGTATAATATATATATATATTTTTTTTTATCTTGTTGTTAATACGGTTGTTTTGGTTTTCTGGAAGCTTTTCAATAAAATTTAATAAACCTAAGTACTGATACGACAAAATAAAAAAAAATAAAATGTTATAGACAAAAATATAAACAGCATAAATTTAAATAGTATAATTTAATGAAATTTATATTAATAGTTAAGGGTTGAAAAAAAAAAAAAAAAAAAAAAAAACAATCCAGTATAAATAGTAAATAAACCCAACATAATCCATCGTTTTTTATATTCTTTTATGTTTATTTCATCACCGTTTCCTCCTCTATTATCATCTTGACTTGATATTTTTTCCTCCATTATTATATTTTATAAAATTCAAATTATTGATATATAAAAAATTACAGATTCTTATAAATGTTTAAACTGTTTTTAATAACAATAAAATATTTTAATTGGATTACATCTTGACAATAACACATATAATATATTATATACACACACACACACACACACATTAAATAAATAATAATTTTTTAATAGTTAATAATTTATAATTATATATGAATAAACTTACGTAAAATAAAAAACAATATTATACAATGTATAGAGTAATTGGTAATAAAAAATTCATTTGATATAATATACTTTAATGAAAGAAAAGAAATTAATTTGTGAGAAATGTTACAATAAAATGAATGCGTATATAATAATAAAATAATCACTTTGTTATCTTGACACAAAAATCTTCCATAATAATTATAAAACCATACAGGATTTATTAAAACTGATAACTTAAATAATAGCATGTTAATATCATATCGCGTTTATCTAATTTTTTAATTCTACCACTATAACTTAATTATTTTTTAATCCTCAAGTAAATATCACAACCACTAGTATATGAATAAATTTTTTTTTTTTTATATTTTACACTTGATTACTTCTTAATCTAGTATTGTGTTTTTATCATTTTTTATTATTATTATTTTAAAAAATTAACGTAAATATACATTTTATATTAATTAATCGAACGTATATATAGTAATAATAATTTATAACGATACAATAATGAAAATGTAAAAGAGATAGTAATAAGCAAATGTGGATAATGAAGGTCATCTTGCGATTAAATATATGTATTAATGACTTAATCTTAATAATATTTTTAATATAATGATAAAGTAATAAAATTAAGTGTATCTATAACATTCTTTAATCAATAAATTCGATCGTAATGGCCCATAATATTCTGATTGCCGTCTTTGGTCTCTATCATTCAATCTATAATCATGGATTCTAATTATACTCTCGCCGCATGTTAATCAAATCTAATTGACGCATTAAATGACATTATTCGACCAAAATTCATTGTTCGATAAATTATTATTCCATCACATCCTATCGAATTATTAATAATTTTCGAGTTATTGCCATTTAGTTACATATTCGAAGTTAATTATTATTTTTAACACAAATTAATTGTACATATATACTAGTATTCAATAAAAGTATAATATATATATATATTTTTTTTTATCTTGTTGTTAATACGGTTGTTTTGGTTTTCTGGAAGCTTTTCAATAAAATTTAATAAACCTAAGTACTGATACGACAAAATAAAAAAAAATAAAATGTTATAGACAAAAATATAAACAGCATAAATTTAAATAGTATAATTTAATGAAATTTATATTAATAGTTAAGGGTTGAAAAAAGAAAAA